CAGCCCAGCGAGGGGCTGGTGTCCCGGGGCTGCTCCGCAAAGCACCAGCAGGGGCTGTGCTCACGAGCTAGGCTGCTGCAGGTCACGCGGAAACTCCGCTCCCATTGGCTGGCAGATCGGGTTCGGCGCGCTCCCATTGGCTGCGGCGGGGATGGTCTGGGCCGGCCGGAGCTCGGGGGCTGAGTGCCGCGACGCGGTTGCGCCCCGCCCCCGCCATCCTGCGCCTCGTTCGGCAGCCGCGGGCCGCCGCCGGACCCGGGCTGAGCGCGCTCCGCCGGACCCATGCGCCGCGCCAGGTAGGGAGCCCGCGGGCCGGGCCAGTCCCGCCCTGTGCGGGGAGCTCCGCGGCCGGACCCCGCCCCCGTTCCGGTCCCTCCTGGGGCGGCCTCGCAGCCCTGCCGGGGGGGGCGTGGGGAGCCCGCGGGCCATGGGGACCCCAGGGAACGGGCGAGCCTGGCAAAGCCTGAGCGTGGCCCCGGGTCCCTGAACCCGGCAGCGACAGGGGAGCTCGGGCCTCCCGAGCCCGGGTCCCGCGGGCCTCCCCGCCACAGCGGCGGCCTTTCGTGCACCGCCCGCCCCGGGAGCCACTCGCGCCGCTGGGCAGCGTTAACCCCCCAGCCCCTTGCGCGCCGCGGCTCCACACCTGCGGCCCCGCGCCCCTGCCAGCCCCCGCGGACATCTGCTGGGCAGCGCCGCTCGCGGTCGGCAAGTCCTAGTTCCGCTGAGCTGAAATGGCTTAGATGTGAACCCTCGCAAACCAGTTCGGAAGGGAAATCACTTGGCCTTGTATACGTGGCTGCTGTAAGTAGCCCTTGTAATATGGCAACCCATGAGGAATTTGCCCAATTCTAGTATTTAGGCTTGAGAACAAGGCAATTTTTCTTCAACTACAGTATCTAGAGGAATGGAGAAACCGGTTTTTTTAGAGCACTTGTATGCTTTAGTCCAGGGGTCTGCTACCTTTCAGAAGTGGTGTGCGAATCTTCATTTATTCACTCTCATTTAAGGTTTTGTGTGCCAGTAATAATGTTTTTAGAAGGTCTCTTTCGATAAGTCTATAATATAGAACTAAACTATTGTTGTATGTAAAGTAAATAAGGTTTTAAAAATGTTTAAGAAGCTACATTTAAAATTAAATTAAAATGCAGAGCCCCCCAGACCGGTGGCCAGGACCCAGGCAGTGTGAGTGCCACTGAAAATCAGTTCCCGTGCCACCTTTGGCACGCGTGCCATAGGTTTCCTACCCCTGCTTTAGTCTGATTTCCAAGGTGTGGAGCAACCTTGGGTCACAGCAATGGCAGTTTCCAAATTATAGGCAATTGGTCTCTACTGTGGGGACAGTTGATTCTGCCAGTTTCACTCCCACAGTAGCAGATGGGTTTTAGGGAAGGTGATGTGCCAGTTCCAGCAACCCTCGGATTCCACAGACTTGGGGTAGGTCTATACTTACCTCCAGGTCCGGTGGTAAACGATCGATCTTCTGGGATCGATCCCGGAAGTGCTCACCATCGACGCCAGTGCTCCTGCTCCACGAGAGGAGTACGCGGCGTCGACGGGGGAGCCTGCCTGCCGCGTCTGGACCCGCAGTAAGTTCCAACTAAAGTACTTCTACTTCAGCTACGTTATTCACTTAGCTGAAGTTGCGTATCTTAGTTCGAAGTGTGGGGTTAGTGTGGACCAGGCCTTAGAGAATTGAAGAAATGCAGAGCTGGAAGGGGCCTTGAGAGAGCATCTCGTCCAGCCCCCTGTGCTGGGGCAGGGCCATTTATAATTACACTTTCCCTGACAGGCGTTCACTTCTTTGATTCTTTTGATTTGGGTTCAGATCTAAGTGTGGAACTTAGACTTGTGTCAACTGTTTGATCTAGTAGTGCATGTCCATTTGATCTGCCAGTAGCTTTTTATATTAATGGAGCTAACAGAACACTGGGCATCATTAAGAAAGGGATCGATAATAAGACATAAAATATCATGTTGCCTCTATAAATCCATGGTATGCTCACATCTTGAATACTGCGTGCATGGTCACCCAAAAAGATATATTGGAAAAGGTGCAGAAAAGGGCAACAAAAATGATAATATGGAACAGCTTCCATATGAGGAGAGAGTAATAAGACTGGGACTTTTCAGCTTGGAAAAGAGACAACTAAGGGGGATATGATAACCGTCTATACAATCATAACTGGTGTGGCAAAAGTAAATAAGGAAGTGTTATTTACTCCTTCTCATAACACAAGAATTAGGGGTCACCAAATAAAATTAAGAGGCAGCAGGTTTAAAACAAACAAAAGGAAGTATTTTTTTCACACAACGCAGTCAACCTGTGGAATACTTTGCCAGAGGATGTTGTGAAGGCCAAGACTATAACAGGGTTCAAAAAAGAACTAGATAAATTCATGGAAGATAAGTCCATCGATTGCTATTAGCCAGGGTGGGCAGGGATGGTGGCCGTAGCCTCTGTTTGCCAGAAGCTGGGAATGGGCGACAGGGATGGATCACTTGATGATTACCCATTCTGTTCACTCCCTCAGGGGCACCTGGCATTGGCCACTGTTGGAAGACTGGATACTGGGCTAGATAGACCTTTGGTTTGACCCAGTATGGCCGCTCTTATGTTCTACTGTTGCCTCTCTTGTAGGATCTTAAGGGATTCACTTTGTGGACTGCTCCTTCTGAGGCATCTGAAAGCGTGCTGGATTGCCATTGCATGTGGTGTCTTTGCAGGGTTTCACCTTGTTCCTGTTCTTGTGTGGAGTCACTGTTGATAGGGAGAAGTATTTGGAGGTCTGATCATCTATTGAGGGTCTGTGCTCTTTGCCAGAATGGCTTGTAACTTCTGGGTCTCACTAGATTCATCATTGTTCCCAGATGACATGGATGGTCTATGGTGTTTCATCTATGGCTAGCCAGGAGATATGCAGTCATTACTCGCTAGTGCAGACCTCCCAGTGATCAGATGCTTTGGTTACCGTCAAGCTTCACTGCTGTATTACATTCTGAATAGGACTAGTCCTCAGGCCTACGGGAAGACTACTGGTCTTCTCGAACACACCTGTCCCTCTCCGCCTCATTGCAGATAGGCATGCATGAACATAACACCCAGAGTCACTGCTCTGGCTTTCTGCTCACTTGCAGGTGGGCTTGTAGGTGGTGACAACCTTTAAAGACCTTGAATGGCTTTGAATTCTTATGTGAATTCTTCATTAGAATAGGTAAAGTGGATGAGAAGTACTTGCAATCACAATCTAAGGCTTTGTGTACACTACCACTTTTGTGGGTATAATTTTTATGTCATTTAGGGGTATTGATAAAAACACCCCTCTGAGCAACATAAGTTTCACCGACAAGTGCCGGTGGTGCAGCCCGCACTATGTCAGCAGGAGATGCTCTCCCGCCAGCATAGCTAGCGCCGCTTGTTGGGGATGGTTTAATTATGTCGACGGGAGAGCTGTCTCCCGCTGGCATAGGGCGGTTACACAGAAGATCTTACAGGAGAGCAGCTGCATTGGTACAGCTGTGCCGCTCTAAGGTCTCTAGTGCAGACATGGCCCAAATTTCAGTAATTCTGAGAGTTCCATCTTTTGAAAATCAATGCCTGTAAAGTCTCTGGGTGAAGTTCACCGACCTGTAGGCCACAATCCGAGATGCCATTTATTTTGTCCAGGATTTGATTTACTGTTTTTGTTTGTGTTGGTTCTTAATGACCTGTAACTGAAGCACCTCTGTTCCGGGGTGGTAAGTGCTGTAGAAACGAAGGTTATGTCTATACTACCTGCCGAATGAGGGGTGGTAGCTCCCGGCGATAAAGCGCTGTCTATACTGGCACTTTTCAGCGCTAAAACTTCTGTGTCTTTTCACATCCCTGTAAAGTTTTAGCGCTGAAAGTGGCAGTGTAGACACAGCCTCAGTAGTAAATTCCCCCCTTCATAGAAGGGGTGTCCCCACAGTCATTCTTCAAACTTTGAGACTCTAACCTGCATGCTGCCTCTGTTCAAACTGGCTTCTCCTAGACACGTCAGTAAAAGTTTTTCCAAAAAGTTCTGCAGGGCTGCTTGGCAGAGAAGTCAGTGGCGGTAGTGGGTTCTCTGGTGCCTGGGAGCCAAGAGTGCGTAGTGCATTGTCTGCATGGTCTCCTCCACTGCAGCAGTACAAGCGTGACATTTTCTGGCAGCAGTGTTGACATTGTGGACACACCCTGCCTATCCTTGTTACAGTGCTTCCTTTCTTGCAGATATAAAAGGGGTGTGGTTGCTTCAGATTACTCTGGTCCCTCTTCTGAGAGCTTAGTTTTTGCTGTGCATCAGTTGTTCATTGATAGTAGTAGGATTTTTAGCCTTGTTGGCCATTTAGTCTCTGTCAGGATGTGCTTGGAGCTCATCACGTGCAATTGTGAGCTTCATTTTACTGGCTTCATGTTATGCTGTACCTAGAATGGCATTCAGCCCATTGCCAGCTACCCTACCTACTGTTTGCCAATTTCCCATGAGGAGGGGAATATGTTGCACCATTGCTCTCCTACAGGTCATTGACTAACATCACTGTAGGGCCAGACTCCCAGAAGAGCTCTGTTCCCATTTAGATACCTAAATAATGGCTGGATTTTCCAAAGTAATTTATTTGTATTTGTGTTGCCCTGGTGCCTGGAGGTTTCTGAGATCAGGGCCCCATTATGCTGGACACTGTACATAGACATAGCGAGAGAGAGTTCCTGCCCTATAAGAGCTTACAATCTAAATGGGCCCTTCCAATAAATGAAGAGATGTTGGAGCAAGTGAAGGATTTGTGTCTAACTCTAGCTTCTGTACTAGCCACATCTAGGAGAGAGGTGCTATAGGTCCCAAGCCCTTGAGAAGGGTTTTCAGAACTTCTGTTCTCCTCTTGTTCCAGGCTCTCTGGTAGTTCCAGCTGCCCAAGAGAGGCCTAGACAATCTTCCCCTTTTCTGAGAGGATGAAAAGAGAAGGTAATTGAACTTCTCAAGAGACCATATGTATGCATCAATTGTACTTCAAGGCCTCGCCTACTCCTCTGTCAGCATAGCTGTGTCTACACAAGGGCTTTTGTCAGCATAACTGGCTGTGTGATTTTGTTTGGTTGGTGTTTTTTTCCACACCCCGACCAACATAGATATGCCATCAAAACTTTGTTGTATATACCTGGCCCAAATGAAGACAGCTGATTGGTACTAGCATAATACTTCCTCACTTAGAATAAACTGCCTCCTCTTCTGGACCTAACAGACAGCATATAATATACCTGTAAAACTGTCTTCAACTGGTTTATTGTCAGTATGCTTTCAAGATGCTTGCTAATGTTTGATGTTATGTTAGTGTGCTGCAGACAGCTAGCAGAGGAGGCTAACAAGTTAACAAACCTTATTTTTGGATCTGTACCAATATCATCAGAGGTTGTTGACAAACATGGATTTAAACAGTTTTGTTCACATGTTTGCTTATAAAGTTGGGGTGGGAGAAAGGGCATTAGTATTTGCTCAGAGAAGAGGGTGAAACTGGCAGGGTAATATAGTTTCGAAGTCTTTGGGGTGGTATTGAAAACTAGGCAAACGAACTTCAAACTTTCTTTAAAAGAATGAAGATATTAAGTCGTCAGTGTCCCTTTAAACACACTTTTCCTGCATTCTTGTAGCTGAACACTTCCTGTGTTTTCCAGAGCTGAATTTGTGGGCATCTTTCCAGTAACAGCTATTCACTGAATTACTTTTAAAGATCCAAATGTTTTAAAACCTGAGACAGTTCATTAGCCTTACTGTAAATCTGACTTAAATGAAAAGCTTCCCCATTCCTTTTAGGGTTGTTCAACAGAGTCCCACCCAGCATTCTTGGACTTTGAAGCAAGTGCCCCAAGGTCAATCCAGAGCAAAAATTCACCTCCTGAGTTATAAAATCGTAACTGAAAATTGCAGGCAGTTCAGTAGATCTGGCCTTGTGACTTTTAATGGCTTAAATAGGATGCATCATGAGGTTTGACTTCTATAAACACCCTGAAGTTGAATGTCCCAAAATTGCTTTTTGATAGAATACCTTTTTATTAAATAATACAGTATATGCTCCATTATCCAGATATTGCCAGGGACATTGAGGCTGCAATTATTAGTTTCCTCAAATACTAAAGAGGTTTAACTGTAATGAGACATGACCCTGTAATGCATCTGAGACTGGTTGAAGTGACAGGCAGTTGTGCATATTTGTGGCTGTATTGTTTTGCAGGATGAAATAGCATATACAAACAGTAGCTTCATGTTGTAAGTAGAGGCTTGTCAAGACCATGTACAGCAGAGCAGAGAATGCACACCTGGATTTAACGCTGTTCTGTGAGGTTTGCGACACTAGTTGGATTTGAGCTGTGTCAGGCTATGATGAGGAAGCAGAGGAGGAGCTGGTCGCTGGAGTGCACTTTTGCACTAAGCTCTCAACACACATTCTGAATAAACAGAAGTCCTTGTTGAATGCAACTTACAGATGAAATATTTTGATGCTGTTCTGAAGAAGGGCTGATGTGTAGACAGCTTTCTGTCAGGAGCATAGTTCTTGGCCTGAGTATTGTACTTGTAAGGTACTAAGGTTCTAAATAGCTGTTGGCAGTCTTGATCTCTCATTTATCCCTGGTTCTCTTTAGCCAACCGCTGTTGTGATGCTGCGGTCTCATTTAGAGATTGACCCATAGATTTTGATTTGGGAGTGGCAGGAGAGGAGTCACTGAAATATTATTATTATTATTCTTTTTTAAGGAAAAGTTCTTCATTTTAAATCGCGTGTTAAATAAAATCAGTGGGCTATATCGTGCTTTATCAATCCTGTATTCTTCAGGGCTCGGAGAACAATCAGTTCATCCCAAGCAAGTCGGACTTTTGCCCATGCATGTGTCATTCGAATCTAGGCAATAGGCTGTCAGTGTACAATTGTTTCCAATTCTGATATTTGCAGGGAAGAACCTGAGTGTGAACAACAGAATGGTGCAGACATAGCTCCAGTGCTACCATCTTTGCACAGTTAGGTGGGGGAAGGAAGGTGGCTGCTGTTTATAGTAGGTGGGAGCTACCTTCCCAAATGCCCTGTAGCAGGAGACATGGGGGAGGGAAGGGGGAATGACACTGTCTAGAAGAGGGGACCCGTTGATGATACGCAGCCACCCCAGTAGAGTATTCTATACGTGTGCCGAGACATTGCCTTCCCCCACCACTAACATTGCTTTGCTATCCGGGCAGGGAGTTCCTGCCACCCAGGCCGAGGATTGTGGGCGGGGAAGGGCTCTAGTGGATGGTGGCAGGTGGGGCCTTTTGCCCTGGGTGGAAATTCCTGCTGTAATGGTAGGGGGGCCCTACCTGTGGGAGGGGAGGCTCTCTAGAGGCCTGGCAGGAGACACCCGCACCCTGAATGCTTTCTGCTTGGTGGAGTGGTGTCAACAGGACCTTGGTATTGAGTGGTGGACAAGAAGCCTGCAGGCACTGGTTTTCAGGCTGTCTGGGGCTTCCTTGGGTTCCCCATGCCCAGTTCTGGACCTGGCAGGGGCCTTCTCTGGAAGGAAGAAGTCCTTGGTGCACCTGCTTTGCTGCAGAAGGCTGTGTGGGGCCAGCATCAATTGATTTCCTGAGTGGGGTGCTGCCTAGCACCTAGCTTGGGGGCTGAGAGGGCGACTCCCTGGATTGAGGGAGGTGGCATTAATTTGGGGCTTGGAGTTCAGTCAGTGGGGACCCTGGGCCAGATACTGGTGAGCACACAAACAGCAGAGACTCTGCAAGATCGGGATGTGGCTTGGATGGGGGTGGCTCTTAGCACCAGGGGTTGTTTGTTTGGTTTTGTTTTTAATAGCATGTTAAGCTTGCTAAAGGTCCCTTTGGTTTTAATTGAATGTAATTCCTTTTACCATTAAGTGCACGTATCCTGTGGAGCTGCACGTACCCTGCTGTATCTGCTAGCCTTTTCTGGGGACTGGGTCTAGAATACTTCCATGCTACACTGCTCGGTCCCCTGCCAAAATGTCACTGCTCATCTCAGTGACCATTTAAAATGAGTATTTATACATATGTATTTATCCATTATTTCATGAATCACCATGGCTATAAAGTAATATTGGTTGGGGCAGGAAAACTTGAGCACCATCTGTTTAGTGTCGGTAGCCCATGAGATAATAGTATCAAACCTTAGGATCACATTCATATTACCATTTGGCCATGTCTCAAGACCAGAGCTAGATCTGAGTATCATGTGTAAGGCATTCATCTCTAACCCCAGTGTTCATGAGAACATTACCTGCTCAAAATCATGCCAGAAGAGTCTGAGGAGGGAAGCATATTGAAATAACCTGAGTTTTGAAGTTTGGGGGATGACACCAAACTTTGTCATTTCTTATGACAACTCTTCAAGTTATCATAAAGTCTAGTGTCTGTGGTTCTGCTGTGGTTCTGTCCCCTCTAGAGGTCATATCAGTTCCATACTGCTACTGCTGATGAAATATGCAGTTCCTGTTTCTACATGTAAAGGAAGCTACAGCTACCCAATGAAGTGGAGAAAATATCAGATTCTCCTGGGGAGGAGACCACAGCAGAAATATAATGTAATTAATTGTATTTAAGTTTGTGAAACTACTGAAATTTTACATTAACTTCCAATGTTCATTTAATCATAATACAGCAAAACCTTTAAGGGGTTGAGGTGGGGGAGTAAAGCACTATACTTAGGTTTAGTGTTTTGCAACCTATCGTAACTAGGAACACCATGACAGAGTAGAAGAAATAGTCCCTGGGCCAGTAAATATTTTTAGTCATGGTCCTACAGCGTGGATTCATTTAAAAATGGTTGATCTCTGCACGGTATTTAACAAACAAAATGATTTATGCAGTTAGAATGGAGGAAATGCAACATAAAAACCTAGTTTACTCTTCTCGTTCTCTGTATGCTTTGCTTTTAACGCTTGTCATTGATAATATTTTATTGCAGGGGAATGAGGGGGGCGAGGTGTGCTCCAGAAAAAAACTAGTCAGCAGCTGACTGTATGTAGCAGAAATTGAAGTTCAAAAGGAGCTTGTGTCCCGGCATAATGAAGTTTTCTTGTTGCTTGCTTATGCTCCTTTTGGGTCATATAATGATGTGATGAAAACTCACCTTTTCCCCCTTCTTTCTTTCAGAATACTGGACTACTTTGCTCCTACACCAGCAATGGCCGTGGACATAGCCATGCAGCTGTATCTGTGTTCTCCACCCTTGAGAAGAGAGAGGTTTGCTTGTAAAATCGCTCCAAAGCCAAACAAACCGTTACGTCCCTGCATTCAGAACAGCAAGGCTGAGTTCAATGAACCTGGAGAGGCAGCAACATCTCTCCAGGGAAATAGGGTGAAAAAGAGAGTTTCTTTTGCCGATAGCAGAGGCTTGGCTCTGACAATGGTTAAAGTGTTTTCAGAGTTTGATGACCCGTTAGATATTCCATTCAACATCACAGAGTTAATAGACAATATTGTGGGTCTGACGACAGTAGAGAGGGACAACTTTGTCTTGGATTTCGTACAGCCTTCTGCAGACTACTTGGACTTTAGAAATCGCCTTCAGACGGATTTTGTCTGCCTGGAAAACTGCATGCTAAAGGATAAAGCTATTGTGGGCACAGTGAAGGTTAAGAATCTTGCTTTTGAGAAGACTGTGAGAATAAGGATGACATTCGACACTTGGAAAAGCTTCACAGACTATCCATGCCAATATGTCAAGGACACTTATGCAGGTTCAGACAAGGACACGTTTTCCTTTGATATCTGCTTGCCAGAGAGAATTCAATCCCATGAAAGAATCGAGTTTGCAGTGTATTACGAGTGTGATGGGAAAGTGTATTGGGACAGCAACAGAGGCCTGAATTATAGGATCATACAGTCTGAACTGAAATCTGCTCGGGAAGTCGCGCAGCCTCAGGCTGGACCTGATTTTGGCATTGCCTTTGATCAGTTTGGAAGTCCGAGGTGCTCCTATGGCTTGTTTCCTGAGTGGCCTAGCTATTCGGGGTATGAAAAGCTAGGGCCTTACTACTAATGGAGGAACTGAGTCTTGATTCTCTAACTGTTGCTGTGTCTGTTGCAAGCTTGGGAATTGGCCTGAACATGAAGTTTGCTAAAGGCCTGGGTAAATGACACTTTACATGGCTCTGCAAAGCTCCATTGGGGTAAAGCAAGATGACTGTAACGTTCTGTGAGCGCAAGTGGTTTTAATACCAGCTAAACTAGTGTCTTTTGCATCATGATAGTTACCCCCCAGATTCAACATTTGGAAACAGTTTGACAGAATGGGAGACTTCACTGGAGTTTCTGCCCAGTGCTGCTAGTCCTCTTCTGTATAATGCTGCTAATCTCCTCCAGTTAAACACTTACTACTTCAGTGATTGCATTGTTCACTTAGGTATGTAGTAGTGTCTTGTGTTGCACATTAGGGTTGTTACAGGCTTGAGTATCTTAAAGAGGGAGGCTTTTTAAACTATGCTCTACCATTTCTGTAGCACTATGCAAGTTGGCTTTGCTCGAAGACTATTTGACAGGTAATTTATACATGACAGGAGATATTAAAGCTAAACTAGCCTTCTGATGGCAAGAGGGGGGTGTGAATGTCCCTTCTCTCTGACCTTCTTACTGTGCTGGAGCCTTTTTGTTAGAGATGGAAAAGATTCTAGAAATGACACAATAACCATGACTAGAAGCTTCGCCTCATGCCATATTAGGAGATATCTGCATTTATGGGAAGATACTGGTATGCTTAGTCACCAGTTCATCTGTAAGATTTTTTTTTTTAATATAACTTTTGTGTAGTAAATTCATAGGGATTGCCCATGTTGAGGAGTTGAATTTTTTTTCCTTTAGAACTGTGTAGTATCCTTGTAGCTTTGGGGTTAAATCCTTTGACTCATCAAGTGTTTTAAAAACCATTTTTACTGGAGGGGAAGAGCTCTTTGTCTGCAACTGTTAATATGTCCAGAAGGTCTTCCAGCCCCCCTGGCGCTCTTGAACTACTTGGGGAGTAACACTGAGGATTTTTTCTTTTTTTAATTTTTAATCTTGCAGATGCTGAAAGATCGCCATTCAGTTCTCAATATGTATCTCTATTAATTGCCTTACTGTGCCTGGGGAGTGCAGCAGCTCCTACTTTTAGTGCTAATGTAAAATAAGCTTTCATTCTGTTAGGAAACCGGGTGCCAAAGGGTTCATGCATGAGTGTGCATGGACAGTAAGTACATTGCATGTTTGTGAATTTGTTTGTTGTTTCTGTAGTGGGTTTGAAATTTGATAAACAGACCTCACTGCTGCTGCTTGTCATGTCCTGTGAAGACAGCTTAGTCTCCCAAATAACTTTTTAGTGCAGTGTGAGTGCCTTGGCTCAGAACTTTTTTTGTATACAATATCACAGCAGTGGCTTGAACTACAAAGGTTTCTGAAATGTGACTGCTAGCTTTTAAAAAGTTCTGAAAATTTGTATTAATCCAAGTCAACAGTTTTGTCTAAAACTTGTCTCACTAGAATGGATGTGTAGCTCTTTGTTCACTGTTTTCATGCTAGAATGGGTTAACTTAGATTGCTAGAACACCAGACTTGCACTGTAATTACATACTGAGCTGTCACATCTGTATCTTGTATTGACATTGTAGAAGCTATCACAATCAAGTGCACACATTTGCCTTCAGTGCTATTTCCATACAAAATGTAGTTCTGCCCAAGAAAATGGATGTCTCAAGGGCATGAGATGCCATCGTTGCTCTTGTTGAAAAGGAAGATCTGTTGCGGTAGAGGGGAGAGTACCATGGCTTGTTTTGGAGGTGTGGTGAATTGCAAAGAACAGTCATTTTAGTACTGCCAGAGAGAATGTAGCTAAATTACTCACTGCAATCGTTAAGCCAATGTCTTGCTATTTGAGCAGAATAACTTATTTCATATACTTAAATGGAATAATTCAAATGGGGTTTAATATTTCCAGATATTCTATTTTTTCTAGAACACAAACATTATATTTTTGGCACATATCCAGTATTTGTGTTGGGAGGGCACAGGAAGAAGCAAATGGCTATGCTATTCTTCAAAATTCCTTTTAAAAACATCACTTCTTTAATTCTGGAGACCACAGTACAAAACACTTCTGCACTGTCCTATAATTTTAGGAGATGATGTATCTGACCTTCTATTAGACATGATTAAGTAAGAACAATGAACTTACAGGAGGAATGCATAGCTTTTTGATCTTTGCATCAATAAATGTATTGGGCTGTGGAAAGCATTATTGTACTCAGTCACTAATATCAGGCATTAAATTGACACTGTGTGTCTGTGTATGTAAACATGGGTTGTACAAGCTTCATTCACTAATTTGAAAAGTCTGTTTCCTGAATTTCCGTTTGATAAGTTAAATAGTGTCCTCCGTAAAGTTGTCTTTAGGAAAGACTTATCCAGGTTTGGTTTAAAATCGTTCTTTGACGTACAAAGCTGGGCTGTGAATGAGTCAAGGGTTTAACTTGCCTAGGATTTAAAGGTATGGTTGTTTTTAGCTAATATGTTCTAAAAATCTAGTATACAGCTTGCTTCATGTACTTTTAGCTAACACATTCTAGCACACCTTTAGAATCCTAACCATGACACCCTAAAATGCAACAGTGATGTGTGAGTCTGTAGTGCCATGAGTAGTAGTGTGCTTTTATTTCCTCCTCCTGGTGGTACAGTGAAGGGGCCCGTGCATACCAGCCAATGGAAGCAATGGTGTACTGCAGTGGATGGGAAAAAGCTGTGGAAGTTTTGACATACACGTTAACATTGTGCTGGGAACTGACTCTTTGACCAATGATGATTCGAAAACATAAAAAAGGTAACTTCTTGGAGCTTTCCTTTTCACACTTTTCTTCGCCAATCGGAATGTAGAAGTGAGGCATTGCTGTCCTTCTTTTATGCCTGGAAGTGCCTTGTTAAGCTGTTTTTGCATGTGTGTCTTTTTAAATGTTTTTGTACACAAAGTTCAAGGTGAAAAAATGCACTTTATAATCACAAATGAATGGATTATTCTTTTTTAAAAGAACAATGGTTTGTTTTTAACTGAAAGTGAAAATAAAAGTAGAAATGAAGGTGCCTGGTTGTTCTCTTTGTATTGTTGCCAGGAGACAGCACTTTCTTAACCACGGGGGCAAATCAGACAAGCTCCTTTGGAGGGAGAGGGCAATACACATCAACATAACCACTTACCATGGGAAGGAATTGCCTTTTCATTCGACCTTTTTCTGTCACTACTTGGATTTCAGAAATGTTACTCAGAACTTTTTTCCTAGTGGAGCTGTTGACTTTGAGGGCTCAATCTGTCTTCTCTTCTGCTTCAGTTGTATAATATGCCAAGTGCACTAGAAACACTAGTTATTCTCGGGAAGTATTTGTCATTCAGGGAAGAATAAAGGATTGATTATTCTTATCCCTAATTTTCCACCAGCTATATTAAGCCTTTTGGAGACTATAGTACTTCTCATTGTGGCTAGCAAACTCTATTTAGAGCACTTCATCTAATAAATGGCAATTAACTACTGCTTGACTTCTTATTTTACAATTAAAATTGCACATGCAAACTTGATGCTATCATGAGTTGTAATGTTTATCTTGCAAAGTGACTGCAGTCCCACACATGCCATATTAACTCCTTTTTTCCCTCTGAAACCAGAAATTTACTGGGCATTAAAATGGGCATTGGAAGGGTTTCTTCTTAATAATGCTAAGCTTTTCAGACTTTTCCAGCACTTCAAATATCTACATGTTGTATTCTCCTGAGTCATAATGAAGTTTCCTCCAGGTTCCTAGGATGTGGAAGTGAAAGATTCAAAAGTGAATGCTGGCTATCTGAATTATTCCCTCAGTGGATGCTACTTATCAGTGCTGAAGGCTAAAATTCAGAGTTAATAACCAGACCAGAAAACAAACTCTGGACTGATGGCTTCATCTGAGCATAATGCTGGCTAGTCCTTCAGGAGTCTCTTGGTTGGGGGGAGGTATTAAATCAGGAAAAGCTACTTGCTCTCATTTCAATCAGTTTTCCTGGATTTATGGTATAAATACACAACTGATCAAAGTATTGAGAAGTTCCAAGTTTCAGCAAAATGAAAGGCAGCATAAGGAGGTTTAAAGCTTTGTGCAAGTGACACTAAAAAACCTCACTTGATTTGAATCTTTCAGGATTGGGCCTGGCTCACATGTACGCCCATTGTAAGGCCCCTTGGCACGACCCGAGTTAGGTGTAAAGGCCTCAGATTCTCCTCCCCCCCCCCCCCCCCCCGAGAACAATCAGATGCTAACCAGATTCTGTTGGGTTCACTTCAAAGATACTGTGATTTTTCTCATATTAACTTGCAGAACAAAACTGAGTTGTAATAAAAGCACTGCCAAAAACGTTAACTACACCGCTACCTCAATATAACGCGACCCGATATAACACAAATTCGGATATAACGCGGTAAAGCAGTGCTCCGGAGGGGCGGGGCTGCACACTCTGGTGGATCAAAGCAAGTTCAATATAATGCGGTTTCACCTATAGCGCGGTAAGATTTTCTTGGCTCCCGAGGACCGTGTTATATCGAGGTAGAGGTGTACTGTTTCTGAAGGCTATTGACGCTAACGTAAGCTCTTGTGAGCTGCTCCTCTTCCAGAGTGAGAGGGGAAATTTTGCTGTATAATAAGCTGGTAATTAAAGTCAGCTCATGCAATGTGAAACCACCAACAGAGCCTGCTCTTGGAGATTATCCCATGAGGTTGTAATGTAAAAGCTCAGCTCTGAGGGGATCTGCCATCCAGTCATGGCTAAGAATACCAGTGGAAGTCTGAGTGCCTTTCTGCATGGAACTGCATCTGTTCTTGTTTAAGCATCAGGAGTCAGTTTTACAGTTAGACTGTCTGTAGTGTGGCTTAAGGCCAGCAAATAGCCAGCCTTCGTCCTCAAACAATACTGCAGTTCCCGAATGTGACCATTTCTAGTTCTCACTTCATAACTTTAATTTCTGTGCTCTAGTAGGAGGGTGGCGAATATTCTGTGTGTGAAGTCAGAATAGCTAATGATCTGTGTGAGAGTGTGTTGCTTCGACAAGACCCTTCATTTCATGTAAATCGGCAACTTACTGCTTTAAAATTGGGTCTGTGAAATTTGGTAATACTAAAAATGCTCCTATACAATCCAGCCATTTAACTTTTTTCAAGCTATAAAGAGGATTTCTGTTCTAGGTCAGCTTATAAAGACGTTCATCAAGGTGGGAAGGAAGTGGAGTTAAATCTGTGAATAAACTTTTAACTACCACTGTACAAACCTAGGTAGGTGCTAATATTTCTGCCCCAAATGTCTATCAATATAGCTAAACTTAATAGAATTGTCTGTATGGAAAATAAATTGTATCAAATTGTTCCTTCACACACTATTGGCTGAGACAAACCTTTGTTATGCTGCCAGTAGAGCTATTTACATGCTGAAACATGTCTAAACCCTTTCCTGGCATGGTGGGGAGCCTTTGTTTCCAAAGGGAGGGCATTAACTTAGGGCACGTCTTCACTGGCAACGTTAAAGTGCTGGCCGCAGCAGCACTTTAACGTGGCTTGTGTGGACGCGGCGTGGTGCCTGGGGAGAGCTCTCCCAGCGCTCTAAAAAAACCCATCTCCTCAAGGGGAATAGCTAGTGCTGAGAGCACAGCTCCCAGTGCTGGTGCACTGTCTACACTGGCACTTGGGGGTGTTTCTTCACACCACTGAGTGAGAAAGTTGCAGCGCTGCAAAGTGCCAGTGTAGACAAGCCCGTAGTTATATAGTTCTACTACATATTGGAAGCAAAATAACATCTCAAAATTAACTGACTTAACTCGCACAGCTTACTCTGTTTTGAGTGATGGGAAAGGGGGAGGGTAGCTGTAGAGTTTGTTTGTTTTTGGGAGGGGAGGGGATGATTATAGTTCTGGGAAGTATATCAGGGGTGGCCTGTACAAGAGGAGGGTGCTGCTTATGTGGAGCTGAAAGGGAAATATAAACAGTTTCATATGTGACCTGTTCAGCACTGGAAGTTAGCCCCACTGACATCACAAGTGCTGTGTGAATGAGTATTAATGGCCAGACTTCTGGTAGGGTAAACATTACAATTCACAGATCAGAACTATTTCCATTCTCTGACTCGCTTCTCTAAATTTGGATAACCATGGCACCTACATCCTTTTAAAAGCCTTTATTTTAAGTACAAGTCACTAAAAGGGTGTAATTCATAAATTGTGTGTTTAAAAAAAAAAGGGGGGGGAGTGGTTGAGAACTTTAAAATGGGATGGTAACAGACCACACCTACCAGGGCTGATTGAACCTGATGATATACTGAAGAAAAAGCTCTCAACCATGCTTGTAGCTACTTCTGTTGCTTCACAGTGACAGACTTCTAGGCTTCAGAGTGACACGGAGATAATCCTGGCATCTTCTTATGAGATTTATATGAATCCAGTCACAGTGGGTAGCATTACAGAACCCTTATCACTTTAGGAATTTAAAAAAAAATCAAATCAGACAAGCTATAGCAAACCAGTATCTCTTCAAAGGGTTCTGCACAATGTACAAAAGCCCCTGCACCCAAAACTCTACTCCTCTTCCTTGTAAAGACACTTAACAATAAAGTTCTGTTCTTCCAGAGTTCTCTCCGACAGCGCTGAGATGCGTTAGCTAGTGCTTGGTGTCCAGTGATGAGTGTCCAGCTCATTCACAGGTGAGCTAACCTCAAGTAGCTGCTTCTGCAGTTTTGTTATGAACTATCCTGAAAGTCTGCTGCTCCTGGACAGGTAAGGAAGTCTGAGCAAATACTATTAAATGTTGGTAGCCAAAGCCGCTCACTCAAACACTGGAAGTGGAATGGTGTTTTCTACTTATGTTCACAAAATAGCAATGGGAGACTGCCTGGGATTATGCTGTTTATAAAGGCTTTATTATCATAGAATCATAGGGTTGGAAGGGACCTCAGGAGGTCATCGAGTCCAACCCCCTGCTCAAAGCAGGACCAGTCCCCAACTAAATCATCCCAGCCAGGGCTTTGTCAAGCCTGACCTTAAAAACCTCTAAGGAAGGAGATTCTACCACCTCCCTAGGTAACCCATTCCAGTGCTTCACCACCCTCCTAGTGAGAGAGTTTTTCCCAATATCCAACCTAAACCTCCCTCACTGCAACTTGAGACCATTGCCCGTTGTTCTGTCATCTGGTACCACTG